ATGCAATTCAAACAAAAAAAAAGAAAAAACAACAAACAATAAACAACAACAAGTAAACACAACAAACCACTGAAACAAATAAAAATAAACAGCAGCAGCAACAAAAAAAAAAAAACAAACAAACCCTAACAACAAGCACTGACACCAACCACCACCAACCACCAACCAACACCCCCTTAAACCCTAAACCCTAAACCCTAAACCCTCGATAGAAAAGAAGAAGTGTTTACCTTGGGTGCCCCCCAATGGTGGTAGTTGCATGCAGCGAAGAAGTTATCTTCTGTATGCCAGCAGAAGCTGGAGAAGACAGTACCCACATACAGCCAGGGGGAGGTGACCCCGGGAACGTCTCGGTGGTAGTGGCGCAGCAACGATCCCTCAACACGAGCAAGCCTCGCTAGGTTCCACGGGTGAGTTGCATAGTCATAGTCATCTCCCTGCTGCTGCTGCTGCTGCTGCTGCTGCTGCTGCTGCTGGGAGGGGGGGGGAGCGGGCTGCGGCTGCGGCTCGGTTTTTGTTATACAGTCGGGGGGGTGCCGCTGCCGCTCCTGGGGGCTGCCCCCAACGCTAGCTTCGGTGCTGTTGCTGCTGGTGTTGCTGCTGTTGCTGCTGGCGGTGGTAGCAGCAACAGAACTCTCTCCTCCTCCTCCCCCAGCAGCAGCAGCAGCAGCAGCAGCAGCAGCAGGGTCAGGAGGGGGTACAGGGAACCCACTGCCGAGTTCATTGGTACGAAGGTCCGCGGCATAGTGCACCGTCAGCTGGGGGGCCCCGCTCTCTACACTCTTCCAGTATACAGCTTCTACTGTATCTATGCTGGGGTTGCAGCAACCAAACACCTGCGTCGTCAGCAGCTTGTCGTGCTCACGCAACTCAGATGCATGCACAGGAGACTCGGGGTGCTGAAACGGCTGAAACACACATACAGATAAACACAAACTCCCTTTTTATTTTTTTTTTTTTTTTTTTTTTTTTTTTTTTTTTTTTTTTTTTTTTTTTTTTTTTTTTTTTTTTTTTTTTTTGTTTTTTTTTTTTTTTTTTTTTTTTTTTTTTTTTTTTTTTTTTTTTTTTTTTTTTTTTTTTTTTTTTGGTTTGTCTAGGATCGTCAGGTGAAGTTTTATACAGAAATGTATACACAACGCCAAATCAGACATTTTTATTATTTTTTTATCATAAACGACCATTAAAGTAATAATAAAGAAGGCAGTATTC